AAAAAAAAAAAAAAAAAAAAAACAATCACATCCAACTATGATTGCATCTTGTCTACGTCGTCCCTTCCTCTAAAAATGAGATTCTTCGGCTCCTTCGATACGGCGTGTTGATTACGCCCAAACTCTTTACGCATCTCCTCTCGGAGTGCCATCATCTTCGCCACGGAGTCCTCTACATTACCGCCCACTTCCTGCCGGAGCTTCTCCTTCGCACGCTGGAAATCCAGCATTGCCTGGTGCTCCCAGGCGGCGGTGAGTGGGGCCTCCTCCTCCGACTGCGTGGCCGGCGCGGTGTTGCCGTAGACGTAGTCCTTGTGCCGCATGTACGGGTAGGGGTCGATGCCCTTCTGCAGGCAGAGCCGCACCCGCTCCTCCTCGCGCTCGCGGCGGGTTTCGGCGACGAGGAGGGGCCGCAGCGTCGGGTACAGCAGCAGCGGCAGCACCGACACGCCCATGGAGGCGAAGAGGACCACCACCCACGGCGACTCCTGCCCAATGCGGTGGCCCACTCGCCGCAGCGGCCCAGACACACACGCCACGGCAACGTTGCAATTATCGCAGAATCGACGTATTACATTCACAGTGTACGTCGTGCATCGTAGTTTGAATCGTGTAAAGGCAAGAGACATGATCTACACTTTTCCAAACCCTAACGTTTTTTTTTTTTGTTGTTTTTGTTTTTGTTGTTTTACCCTCTCAAGATGTAAGGGACACGGTGGTGGTTGAGTAGATGTCCTTCTATGGGTATATAGATATATATATATTAACAACGATAGATAATGTTAATCTATATCCCACACATAAACATACAATTACTCACACGCTACCACTATCACTATCACTTCTACTTTCACTACTACTATTAGGATATCACTACCAATATTTTCTGTAATTACCTCGCTATCTCTCTCTCTCCAGTACTTCTTCTTTTTTTCTTTAACAGATGACTGTAAACCTGCAACTAAAACAAGAGAAAAATAAAATTAGGAAAGGAAAAAAAGAAGCCAAAAAAAAAAATAATAAAAAAAATGTTTTCTCATTGTGTTCATACTGAAACAAATATAGTAAGAGATAGAAGAACAAGAAGAAAAAAAAAAAAACTCAACAAATCAGACTTCATGAAAAGTCACGGCATTATTAAAAAAAATACCGCAAGAGTCGCCCCAATAAAAGCTCCTCTTGTGATGAAAGAGTTCCAGTTTCCCAAGGTTCCAACTCACACTGGAGTATAACCTCCTCCGATGCAGTTAAATCCTGTTCCAACACAAGTAACGCAAAATAATGTTCTTCTATTAATCGATGAAGTTCCTTCTCACCATCAATACCTCTTGGTTCTAATTCTTGTATGAACCACGAACGATACCACTCAGGAAGTTCTTCAAAAGCAAAAGCAACTTCCAAGGAGGCATTCCTCTTCCTGTCAACACCATCATGGATATTAATAAGATCGATAAAAGGTATAATACCTAGTTCAATAGGGTCTCCTTCTGCAGTCGTCCAGCATTTAGGTAAATGTTGAGCCCTTGAAAGGATTACATTTACTGCATTACGAAAGTAACTCGGTGATGCCATGATATTTTCCTTACCAAGCATCTCATACACTGCAGTTACCTCTCGTTCTATACCACATCGAGCATGTACCAAGTATGGTAGAAGTGAAGTGTGATGTAATCGACATTTTCGTTCACTCTCTTCTTCTATCGTTTTAAATGCCTGTGCATCCGGCAATACATTTAACCATCCCCACCAAGGTGAAAGTGCTCGCTGTTGCTCAATAGAAAGACGCCAAGCAAGCGTAACCCACTGTTCCGCTTTACATCCCAACAGTTTTGATACCACACCATTATTCAGCGCTTGCAACTTTTCAAGATCCCGACATTTCATCATCTTTATATTGGCTCCAAGTTTATCTAATGTGGTAACCGAACAAACTTGTCTTGAAGGAACCACTATCAAAGGAGTACCCGCATCACATGCATCCTTTACAAATATACCATAACCCACAGATGCATCACGTTTTTCAATCAAAACGGTATCATGAATACCAAGACGTTTAAGAATAGCATATGTAGCTGTGTACTCTGCGAACTTGGCACTCCTTTGACCGCGCATCACTCATCACTTACTTTAGAGACTATACTTTTTTTTTTTGTTTCACTTAAGATTATTTCCAAAAAGAAATAATAATAATAAAGGGGAGAAAAACAAAAAAAAAAAGAATAAGAAAACAATTACACTAGAAAAATAAAGAATTCTTCTTTATCATTTGATGTATATCGTAGGCGATATCATTATTACAATATTAAACTCTTATCTATAGGTGTTCCAAAAACTAGCAACCAAACCAACAAAATGAAAGAGACAAAACAAAAGGAAAAAAAAAAACAAGCAATATCTTTATATCGTGGAGAAAGAGGGGGAAACATTTCGATTTCCACGCTTGAGAGCCGCAATAACTTCCAATCCCATGTGTTCCACAATCACATTACCAACAGAATTTAACACATTACAGTAATCTGTTAATGTGTTGAGTAGAACTTCAGAAAATCTTAACGCATCTGAAGAATCTTCATCCTTCGTCGGTGAAGTTATTAACATCTGCAAAGTCTCCTTTGAAGAGAAAGATGGATCTTCTAATAATATCATGGCAAATAAACCTGCAATATCTGTTAAATGTTGTGATTCAGAAAGTAATACAAGTGCTTCCGGTAAACAAGAAATTGAAAGCAGCACACGCGCTGCTTCTATCATCTCTCCACGTTTAGCAGAATGTGAACACCAGCGATAGAGAAGTTCCTTCTGCTCTTCATATGAAATGGCAGACACTTTTGCGAGTCTCGCGGATTCACTCCATTTTCCACAAGACTGTAAAGCGAGACCTGCCCCGTAGTAATCACTTGACAAAATAAATTTTTCTACAGCACTATCCAAATCTCCTCTTGCTAAAAATAATGCAGCCGCTCGTTTTGTGGTTATATTAAATAATGTTGAAGATGTTGCATCAATGGCAGCAGATGAAGCAGCTATGGTAACAGCTAAATTGGCTAAATTAGGAAATTGTTCACTTTCATAATTCGTATCCATTAAAATATCTATAGCTTTTTGAGGTTCTTGAAGTCTTAGTAATTCTCGTGCTACCACTAAACGACAATTAGAGGCATCTATATTTTCATTTTTACGAGCTTCAAGAGCAGATATACGGTGTTCATTAAACAACATACGATTCCTTCGAACGACTTCAGAACTAGCCACAGCTTCTGAGAAATAATTACAGTGAATATAAAAAAAAGGAGATTCTTGTTCCCGTCCAAACTTTCGTCTTTCACTACATTGTGATGGATCACTGACATCACTGTTAATATGCCATATAGTTTTACGCATACAATATTGTGACCAAAAACGTTCTTTTTCTTTTTGACCAAAGAAACGAGCCACATAAAGTGCAAGTTCCTCATTACATTTTTTATCTATTGCTTTTTGTATAAATGAAAGAATATATTTAGGAATCATAGTTTCCTTGTAAAGATCCAACTCTTTTGATAGTGTTGAAATACTTTCTGTGATAACTTGTCCCAATGGTCCACGACATGGTCTTCTTTGTATATCAATAGATTGTACCAAATAACTTGGTAAATTATTATTCTGTTGATAACTTGTAGTAGATCGATTAGTCATAATTTGTGTCTCCAAGGATGTTTGAATATATGTACGGTGAGCAGGAAGAAAAAAAGCACTGCTTTGAATGGGTCGACGTGGAGACTTACAAGATATACTACTATTAACAGAAGTAAGTAATTTATCAAGAAGCACTAAATCACCATTACTTGTAAGAACAAGAAGAGCATCTCCCATCCATGCCAAAACTCGGGCACTTAAATTTAATCTAGAAATTTCAGAATAACTTATTCGTTCCTGATTAGATGTATTCCATACACCAAAAGAACCATCTGTAAAAAGGGCTGCAAGAAGAACATCTGCACTAGAAGAAGAAGAAGATTCTACAGAATTATGTATTTTATTATCATTTTCATCTCCTTCTATTATTTTTGATACTGCGATACTTAATGCAGCTTTATTTACAGGAGTATTCTTTAAAGAAAGTACACGAAATCCCCAAGATCCACTACTCACCAATACAGGTATCCCTATTCCATCACATATCACTATCATCTCATTAGTGGGTTCACATACAACTTTACTGGGATAATTATTAAAAAATATAGGCACCACATCACGATTTTGAACCACACGATCTTTATAAACAGTCCATAAACTCATCGTTCCATCTGTAAAAACAATCGTGAGTAGTTGTGGAGATCCTTGCACGCCTGTAAGACAAGATAAGAATGGCATTGGTGCCCATGAAACACCTGCAATACCCATTCCTTCAAAGAAATAAATAAGACCACCTCCTTCTACACTCCATACTTCAAAAGAACCATTAAAAAAAGTTAGAAGGAGAAAATTCCCTGTTTCACTTAAAGAGATACCCTTCATACGACTAACATCAGGATTTGTAGGTTTTCGAAGAACAGAAAGTACAACACCACTACGACAATCAAAAAGTGTTACTTGATGAAAGTGATGAGATTGTGTAGATTTATTAGTAACTACCCAAACAGATTCTCCCCATTTATGAGGACTTAATAATATAATACGAGTACCACCAGAATGTACAATATTAACTCGTCTAAGTGTTACATTATGCATTACATCAATCATGACTAAATGTCCATTTTCCAAAGCACAACAAACTATACTTTGTCCAACTAAACAAAAATCCATTGGTTTAGTGAGATCAAATGATAAATACCCTTCTAATGACCATCGTCTAGATTCTATTCGAAATCGCCATCTCGTTACAGAACCATCTGTAAAAATAATACTAAAGAGATTTGAATTATTTTGAGATTGAACCACATTTGCAACAGACTTTGATCCTATTCTTGCTCCTCGTACATCAATAGCTACATTAGTGACTTTATCTATTCGATGTACATACCAAGCACATAATCGTTGATCTGTTCCAAATGAATATAAGAAGGGAATTTGCTGTGAACACTCATCTATTGTATTTGGTGAAGAAGGAAAAATACGTCTAAATTCAACATCACTTTTCGTATGCCATAATACTTGTTCATTAAGGACTAAATTTGTTTTCCAATCATAAGCTCCAACAGAGTTTCGAGTTGCAAAATATAATACTTCCTCTTGAGCTTCACTAAAAGTAGCATCAAAAACGGTTTCATTTCCATCTTGACTATCATAAATAAGATCTTTAACCCATGAATCAGTTGATTTTTTAGTAATAGTTAGTTCTAATGAAGCGAGAATACGAATACGATCACCAAAAACAACGCAATAGGTTTGAGTTGGACATAATTTTGAAGAACACAAATGTAATGGAATGATATTATTCGTACGTTCTGATCTAAAAGGAGGTTTTACATCTTGAAATGGTTCTTTACCTGCCAAGTGAGAATCATATAAAAAACTTGAACAATTTTTTGTTAATACTAATAAATGATGTTTTGTTGGAAGAGATAATGCATGAATAGGTTCTGCATTTGGTACCTGAAGACTATTTAATATAACTCCTTCACTTACATCCCATAAGGCGATAAACCCTCCATTATCACCAGTAAAAAGAAATAATCCATGTTGTAAATAAGATGCAGGGGGTGGCTTCCATTGAATACATGTCACTACATAGTTATGACCATGAAGTGTTTGCACGAGTTGCATACTATTCATATCCACTACAAAAACATCACCAGATCCATTACAGTATGAACTGTAAGCTAATAAATCTTGATATCCATACTGTGCTGCCTGATATGGCCACTTCCCAACTTCATCAATGGGGGCATTATTCCCACCGGGTGTGGCTGTTTTTCCAGGAATTATCTTCGTAGATAAAATAGGTGACATGGAGTTTATTTCTTTCTTTCTTTCCTTTCAGTACTAACACCTAAGGAGGAAGAAAAAAAAAAAAAGAACAACATTAATAATAATAATAACAAATAATAATTTACCTTACAATAAGTTATTTACAAAAACAAAACAAAACAAAAAATAAAAATAATAAAGGGATATACAAACTAAAACCATTTAATTAAAGCACTAGCATATCTTCTTTATCTAGTGGCATTGCTAAAATTTTCCATGTTTTGTTGTTTTTTTTTCTCTCTCAACCATAACAGTCAAACTATCAACGTTCAAGAAAAAAAAAAAAAAACATTAATTACAATAATCCCTTCTAAATATTACCCCTTTCCCTCTACATAGTACTACAGGTAGTAAACCCCTTCATCCATTAAAAAAAAAAAAAAAATGAAAAACAATAATAATAGCTTTAACAATAATAATAATAATTAAAAACGTAACCATTACATCTTTGACCGTCTTATAAAGTTGTAATAAGTGGGACGCACAAGTTCCTCAACGACCTCATCCACAAATACAGAGAATTCTTTTTCTCGTGATGCATCATCTGTGATAAGTTCGGCATACCATTTTAATTTGGGTTCAGTTCCACTGCCACGTAAAGTCATTGTAACACCATTATCAAAATAAAACGTCAACATTGGACTTGATGCTGATACTGGTAGTGTCGCTCGCCTGTCAGGTTTTCTGGTATCTAATCCAGTTGCCAAATCACGAATGTGAAGAACACGAGCTCCAGCCACTTCAACAGGATATGATCCACTATTCATTATTCCTATTGCTTTAAACATTTCCTTCACACGACTGGGATCTTTAGCAATAACATATGAATTACAAGTAAAATGATATCCATATGTTTGATAAATTTCCATAAGTTTTTCAGATAATTGCTTTTCATTTTCTTCTTTTTTAATGTATCCAATCATATCAGCTACAACAGCGGCAGCTGTAACACCATCTTTATCCAATACACGTGTACCAAACATATATCCAATAGCTTCTTCAAAGGCAAGAATAACACGAGCTGATGATTCTCGAGAAAGAGATTCTGCCAAACTTCCCATCCATTTAAAACCAGTAAGTGTTTCTTCAAAATGAATACCTTCTTTAGTAGCTATAGAACGAAGAATCATTGAACTCACTGTACTAGACAAAAAATAACAATTTTCCAGAGATTCTCCACATTTACGGGCGTGAAAAATAGTCCACCATCCAAGTAATGCACCAATTTCATTTCCATTAAATATACGCCATGTACCATCTTTTTGTCTCTCAGCTATAGCAAGACGATCAGCATCAGGATCATTGGCTAAAATATAATTTGATCCTGCTTCATTAGCTGTCTCCATTGCTAGAGAAAGAGTTCCTGCTCCCTCTTCTGGATTAGGAAATTTAACGGTGGGAAAATCTGGATTAGGTTCAGCTTGTAAACTTACCACACTGATATCCTTTCGTTTAATTCCTACCGTTTCTAACGCATTAAGAGTGAAAGGGCATCCCACACCATGTAAAGGTGTGTACGTGAATTTTACAGAATAATCTGCTGTCAAGGGTTTATATTCAGACTTAAGTGTAGCAAAATATTCCAACCATATTTTATCAAAAGGATCAGTAACTCCTGGTGTAAGTTCCCATGAAGAGTCAAGTGGAACCAAGTTTTCCATAATTGATTTTGAAATATTCTTATCATGGGGAGGAATAATCTGTGAACCATTATTCCAGTAAACTTTATATCCATTATCTTCTTTAGGATTGTGACTCGCAGTTATCATTAAACCAACGACACAACCCATTTGACGAATCGTAAATGGAACAAAAGGAGTGGGTACCACTTTTCCAAAAAGAAAAGTTCGAATACCAGCGTTAAGAAAAACATTAGCAGCTAATCGTGCAAAATAGCTACTACCATGACGTCCATCAAAACCAATCACCACACCTTTTGAGGAAAGTTGATCTGAGGTAAATGTAGTTTTCATATAAGCAGCTAAACCTTGGGTAGTTTGAATAATGGTCAAAGGATTCATTTGACTGTTACCAGGTCCCATCTTTGCTCGAAGTCCAGCGGTACCAAATTCCATTCGATGAGCAAGAAGTAATTGTAATTGATCCTCATCTCCAGATTTATAAAGTTTCTCAATAACATTTCGAGTTTCAGGATTACGATCCCATAAGAGCCACTGTTCAACAAGTTGTTTCAAAGACATGTTTTTATTTATCTTTTCTTTTTTTTTTTATTTCTCGTTCCTCGTGTTTGTTCGTTTTACTCCGTTTTTTTTTTTTTTTTTTTTTTTTTTTTTTTTTTTTTTTTTTTTTTTTTTTTTCTTTTGCTTTGTTTTGCTTGTTTTTTTTTTTTCGTTTTTATCTTTTCCAATTGATTAAAGAGATCTATAAGAAAAAAAAAGGGATAAGACTTATCTACAATGGATCTCCCAAAAAAATAAAAAAAAAAAATTACATAATATATTTTTTCACCAAAGAAAAATTGAGGGAGTGGAATGGTGAAAGAAAGGAATGCCGCCACCCGGGATCGAACCAGGGACCTTCAGATCTTCAGTCTGACGCTCTCCCAACTGAGCTATAGCGGCTACGATGAAAACCTCAAAGTGAATAGAGAATAAATTTTTTTAACACACACACACACACACACTATACCGTTTCATAACTCTTGTACACATTGAAACTTTCATCACTACTTTTTCTTTCCTCCTTTCTTTCTTACTGCTGCGGTTACTATTATTATTGCTGTTGATATTTCTGACGTAAACGATCAAGCAATAAAGAAGTAGAATGAAAACTTTCTGTTAAAGTTAATGCACCACACAAAGCGGTTGCAGCAGCTAATCGTACCTCCTCTGGAGGTCTACTACTATCTGATTCTCCTTCACCACTAAATATAGATTTATCGTAAAGAAGAAATTCCTCCACATTAAGACGACGAGGAATATCAGAAGTCTCTTCCACATGCAAAATTCCTGTCATACCATGAACAGACGCAATTTCCTTCAATAGGCGTAATGTTGATGAACCTGTTAAAGTCAATTCAATAGGCATTGCTACTATAGAACGAGTAGAACGCACACGAACATGACTTGGATGTATAAGAGCAGAAAGAAATAAATCATTATTTAAAATTTTATTCGGCAAAACTATTCCCTCTAATGATTTTTGAAGACGTTCAGTAGAATTTTTTACCCAATTTTCAGGAAGATTCAAGTTAGCTTCATGCATACGAATTTTGCATGATGTACTAATGGCGGCACTCTTCACATCACTAAAGACTTTTTCATTCGAGACTGCCTCTCTTGCACTTTCCCTTAAGAGCTTTAGGTATTGTTGTCGGTTTCTCGCGGCGACAATATTAAACCCCCGACTAGGATTGGTCATTCAAAAAAAAAAAAAAAAAACTAAAAGGAAAAAAAAAAAAAGAGAGGTCTATCAAAAAAAAAGAGGGGGGTGGGCAACCCCTTCCTTATGTAGGAATGCTACTAGTAGCCCTTATAAGACAAATAAAAAGAGAATAATAACAATAATAATCAAAGCATGTACCTACAAATGCATCACATAAAAGTGTGAAGCCCATCGTTGTGGCATTAAAAAGAGAAAAAAAAAGAGCACGATCATCAAAAATACAAGATTAAAAGACCAAAAATGAAGAAATTTTACAAATATTTATTCGCTTCATATTTTTGTTGTTTGTTTGTTTGTTTGTTTGTTTTTCTTTGCCTTCCTCGTAGCACGTCTTGTCCTCAGTTTGCATCACCACTTCTTCATTATCGATGTACAGAGTATGCTTGTATTCTGTGAAGCAGAAAATACAAGTCAATGAGAATCAAAACAAAACAAAACAAAGACATCAATCAACAAAGAAGTTTGCGATAAAGAATGGAATCGCCTTCTTCTTCAAAATCAGTTCGTGTCACCCAAAGAGAAGAAAACGATGAGCAGTCTGCAGCCAGTGAAGCACCTGCCCATGCGCCATCCACTGCAGGAAATACTTTAAACACATCCTCTTTTCCGTAACGAAAGTATGATGAATCCCGCTGTCGAGTTTCTTTTAGTAATCGTTCACGGAAACCAGAAGCCTGTGAAGTACCACCGCAAAGAATATGTGAAATGGTCTGCTGCTGCCACTCCGGGTCCAGGCAACGTTTACACTGCACGAGAAGATCTGCCAGAGACTCACCAGTACCATTTGGAGATCCGAAGAGTACATCATACGGTTCAAGACGAGCATTTGCTGTCACGGTAATAGTGTTTCCATCTGGAGCGCGCAACAGTAATGGTTCTTCCTTTCGTGAAGGATCTGAACGTCCAGTACGCACAGAGCAGGCCACACGTTTGATATCCCCACACATTTCTCTAAAGGCCCATTCTCGAACAGATGGCAGGCGATAATGTTTTAGGCTTTCCAATCTCTCTAGTTGATCCACACCTATCATATCCATTAAACGTTGTGTAACCACACTACCAGCGAGGTTGTTTGATACTATTGTACCTCGCAATGCATAACCATCCAATACGGCAGTGGCGGTGGAATGATGATGACCAACATCTAACACAACGGCGGAGGTCTTGCCGGACGCCAATGTCCACGCAACACTAGGACGACAACAATAAAGTGCAGAAGTAAAATTTGACTCCAATATGAGGCGAAATAAATTTTGTATAACTTCAGACTTCTCATGCCACATTTCTGGCACCACTAACATGAGTGGATCCTCTTCTAAACATCCTAACTCTTTTCCCATAATGTGCATCAAATGATCCATGTGAAGATTTTTTTCTTGTTCCAGGGACTGAAGCGTCCACATCTGCACGAGGTTTTCAATCCCTGCAGCATCTGCCGCAACTAGTGTTGATGGTAAACATGTCTCTGTAGGCGCCTTTTGAGAATGAAGAGAAGAAATTTGTCTCGTACACTTAACGTCTCCTATGTAACCTGCACGTATATTCCATCCAACTTCCACCACCGCCATTCTTTTTTTTTTTCTTTTCTTTTCTTTTCTTTTCTCTCCCTCTCAATCTCAATCTCTTCCCTTTTCTTTTTGTTAGTCACCGTCCATATTAAAGAAAACCCGTCGTGAACGTGGAACAAAGACAGACAAACACTGATTTATCACCAGCTGAAGAATAAATGCTCCACATTCAAAAAAAAACAAAAACAAAAAACAAAAACACAAGAAAAATAAAAATAAAAATAAAAATACAATTACACACCAAATATTGTAGAAGTGGTGAAAAAAAAAAAAAAGAAAAAGAAATTCCCAAACAATGACCTCATGAATCTGTGTAGAGTCACACATAATGTATGCTTGTATGTGCCTTCTGTATTTCTCTCGCTTTCATTTTCGCTCTTCTTTCATCCCTCTGTTATATATATATATATATATATATATATATATATATATATATATATCAAATGGTTAATGAACAGAGACCAATCTCTTTTCATTCACGAAAGCGACGAAGTGAAGTAAAGAGACCTTCGCTATGAATTCTTTGAGCAAACTCCTCTGCTGCTAGCCTAGTGCGCGTGCGGAACACAAGCTGACGGCTCACCTTCGGCATCTCCACTTCTTCCATACCAAAAGATTGACCAATAAGACGAACCTTCGCTTCAGATCCTGTTGTTTCGAATGTAACACATAACTCCCAAGCGGTATTTGGCCGCCGTAACGGAGACACTGATAATGCCACTGCTGTTGGTGTTGCTACTGAACCTTCTGAGGAGTCTTGTATTCTCGCAGATTCTGTATTTGTTGAAGAGGTAGCGCCACCACTGGTGGATGCGGATGATGTCACAAGTCTGTGTGTTACTTCCGTCTGTGGTATGGTTGCATGACAACGGTGCATTACAGCATCATCGCTACGCATAAACATCAGACAATGTTTACACTGCATACACGGTACGTGATAACGACTATCATCGCGCAGTTCCCTAGCACAATGGATACAGAGATCCATATCACATACATCGCAATGATATAGATACTTTTTTTCATTCATCTTTGTTTTTGGCTTTTTTCGTCCTCCTCGTTTTTTCCCCTTTGTCGACTTTTTTTCTTCTTCTGCTTCCTCCAATCCCTCTAACCAGTCTGTAAAGCCGCAGAAGTCACAACTAACACCATCCACGGGACCATATTGTTCTCTCTCTTTTATGCGTAATTCATGATTATTCCAGCAGCGCCAGCCTTCCTTCACAGGATCATACAATGGACTTCCACACTGTAAAAGATACGCTGTGTTTTCTATTGTGTTCTCCTCATGATGTTCTACCTGTTGCAGGGTATCATCATGCTTTGCGATATTATCATCATGACTTTCATCATCTCGACGCCTTTTCGTCTGTGGAGGACGTATGTGGGCCGTCATTTGCGATATCTCCCGCTGTGGTGAGAGACTGCGGTGAGATGACATTTCGATAAACCTCGAAATATTCTCTGGGGCACAGAGATATTTGCTGCTCATTTTACTCTCTTTTTCACTTTTTTGTCTGTTGTTGTTGTTGTTGTTGTTGTTGTTGTTGTTGTTATGTTTCTTTGTTTGCTGTAATCAATCCCTTATGCAACTGAAAAAAAAAGAGATCTATTTGTGTCTTCCCAAACAGGGAGTGATTCCTCTTCTATCACCACCCGCCAGCCACAAATCACTCACCTAATCACAATGTGTATATTAGGATGTATGTGAACCGAACATCACAGAAACAAGTTTAAGAACAAAAAAAAGAAAGAAAAAATAAAAAAAGAATAATATTAATAATAATAACAATAGGAGTAATAGTAATAACAATAGAGGGGGAAAAAGAGATGACCCGGACACAGCCAAAGGAAAGGTATCCAAAAACAGACTTGATGGTATCGATAACACAGTTCTGCATAAGAAAATACTCCTCATACTCAAAAATAGCGACGACAACAACAACAAAAAAGAAAAAAAAGGAAGGAAAAAAGGAGGAAAAAAAAAAACTTCTATGCACAAATCACCTTAAAAATAGAGCGACTCTACTGGTGGTTAACATGGCTATCTGTTCATAACTAATGCAGAGTGATACTCTCATGTACAGATATGCTACAAGTACATTGTTTCTGTAACTCACGAACTTTGCAAGAGTAACCAAACAATGTGATACTTCCGCCCTGTCAACCCCTTGTTTCTCTATTATATTCTTTACCATACATAGGGATAAATAACATATGTAATTATACAATATCCGTTTATATATATATATATATATATATATATATATATATATAACGTTTCTTAGGGTAGTAGGCAAAAGAAACAAAAAGGAAACTATTTCACACATGTACAAAAAAAAAAATAAAATAAAATAAAGAAAGAAAGAGAGATACATATGCCAAGAAAAAGAGGAAATTTTCACTAATTCCTCACAAGCTCCAGTAGTGTTGTTTATAATACAGAGAAACGAAAAACAGGAGTGATGTACCCCATAGTTTGTTTTACTCATGAAAACATTTGAGAGAAAGAAAGAAAAATAGGTAGAACCAAAAGCAAAAAAAAAGAAGAAAATATTTTATTTGAAAAAAAAGGAATAAGTTAGACAATTTCAATAAATGATAAACAAGTGAACAAAGAAGAGAGAGAGAGAAGGAGAAGGAATAATAATAATAATAATAATAATAATAATAATAATAATAAAGCATCATCAACCCCACCAATACCATTTCGAATAAAACGAGTTGATCTGGGGATATCAAGTACCTCACATAACAATTCTCCTGATTTCTTTCTCATTTTCAAGACTAAGTGGGACAAAAAAAAAAAAAAAAAAAAAAAACAAAGAAAGTGATATTGGTACGATTATGACTCTGTTAAAGAATATTTTTTATCTGTGTCATTATCGTAACGATGCCAAAATAAATAATAAAAAAAACAGCAACTGAATGTCATCATTTGTAGCAAGAATAAGAAGAGAGAGGAGACACATATCTTCTTCACCTTGGATCACTGAAAAGATTCGAAAAGAATCATACTAGTAATCCAGATAACCAGATCTCTTTATTTATTTATTTTTGGCCGTTGCTAATGAAGAAGAAAACTATTCACCATTATTCCTCACTCTCTTATTCCACAAGAAAAGGGTCCCCTTCCTCTCCAATGGAGTCCTCCCTTTCTACTTCTCATTGAGTTGCGGAGAATGGAAACGACGAGAGCGAAAGGATACAGGACTCCTCATATCAGGCTCTAACTCCATTGGAGGTTTTGTCGGGGGTAGTAGGGGAGGTAATATTGGTACTTCCGAAAATGTACTATCTTTGCGATTATATATTATTTCTTTTTCATCTTCTTCTTCTTCTTGTATAATTCCAGAGCCGTGTGCATTTCGGATATCCTTTGATGATAGAGACAATGACAAGTAGTGGGATATGTTACCTTCCTCACAGGAGTCTGTGTTCTCCATAGCAATACATCGTTTTCGAGTACCTGAAGGTGTATCTCCCTTTACCTGTGCTCTGGAGCGAGAAAGATAGTAAAGCGATCGTGGTGAATTACAAAGAGAGACATCATATGTGTCTTCGTCTATCGCTTTGCTAGATATATTGGCACTAACATGCCCAGAGTGTCCATTTTTCACTTCGTACTGTCGAAACGTGAACTCTCCGATGCGAAGAAACACACAACATTCATGTATACATTTTTCCACTACAGACTCCTCCACTCGGACTTTCTTCTTTTCATAGTCCTCTAATGAAGAAAGAAACCACTTTATTGAACTATTTGACCATCCTTCACCTACGAAACAGAATGCGTCGAAATGTTGTCCCGTACCGTCTATCGTTTGCACCGCACAGCTGGACTTTGCTAACGTCAGAGTGGTCCTTCCCACCATAATACCCTCCGGGACCTCCATGAATGGGAATATGGGAGTAGCGGTGCAAAGAAAACTAAGAAGCTTGCACCTGCAGACTAATACAACAAAATACCCAGATTAAAAACCTGCAGACACCTGAAATAGAGGGAAAGAAAGAAAGAAAGAAAGAAAAAGAAAGAAAGAAGAAAAATGTAGTCCGAAAAAATAATGAAGGTGTTAAAGAAAAAATAGGAAAAAGTAAAAAATGAGAGAAAAAAAATATATTCTTCTGCTCTTATCAAATGAAGTGATTTCCTTCCAGTTTTGAAGGAGACAATTGCACTCTATTATTACTTTGCTTCATCATTTCATTGCTACACTGACCAAAATAAAAGAAATAAGATTTTTTTTCTTCTCTTCCTTTTTTTTTTTAAGGATTTCGGACACTCCCACATATTTTTTGTGGGAAAAGAAAGAAAAAAAGAAATATATATATTTTTTTTCTCAACCACGATACCCAATGTATTACAGTTGTCAAACTAAAAAAACAGTAATCATGTTCAAGGGAAAGCAGTCTTAACTGCCTCAATAACAACTGTTGCAGCATTTTCAAGTTCATCCTTAGAGGCTTTCCCTTTTACGAGAATACGTACTCCAGGATGGTTTTCACACTTTTCTTCTTCATTGTAAAGGCTTCGTCCCAGTAGTACATTTTTCTCTCTTGCTATTTGCACAATCTGCTCAAGCTCTTCCTCCACTGTTTGAGAGTGATCCTTCACATATTGTTTTGAAGGACGCAGAAGTATAATAGGCGAGACATCACCTTCGCACTCTATCATTGAAATTTTTTCTGGGTTAAACTTAGCTTGTCGAAGGGATTCCCGAAATAACCTCGCATTGGCCTGTACTCTTTGCGAATAGCTGTGGTCCTTATTAAGTATATCCAGTGCGGCCGATACAGCAGAAGTAACATAAGGCGGTAATGAGGCAGAGAAAACATATGCCGCCGCGGTAAGACGTTGATAATCCACCATAGCGTGATCACCCGCACAGAACCCACCAACACCTCCTAAAGATGTACTTAAACTTCCAACATAAACATCAATCATTTTTGCTGGAATTCCATAATGTTCATGTGTACCACGGGCTGTGGAGCCAAGGCAACCAAATCCATAGCTGTCCTCTAAGATGATTCGGAACTTGTACGTCTGGCAGAGTTGTAAAATCTTTGGAAGATTACAAATATCACCAGTGTTCCTAAATATACCTTCCGTAACCACGAAACGTCGTGATAGTTTATTTTCTTTTTTTTCCTTCTCTACAATTTCTTTCAAAAGAGTTTCTAAATGTGTCATATCATTGTGACGATACTTGTAAACATTTGCACGAGACAATGTACACCCATCGGCGACAGAAAGATTAACCCCAGCATCCATAACAATATATTCCCCTTTACTCACAAAAGCGGAAATAAGTGTCGATATAGTAGCAAAGGAAAAACTGTAAATAATAGAATCTTCAACACCAAGAAATTTTGCAATATCTGCTTCAGCAACCATGTGGGGTTTAATAGTGCCATAAAATCCACGTGGACCACAACTACCAACACCATACGCCATCACTGTATTTCGTGCCACCTCCACAATTGCGGGATGTGTGGAGAAGGAATGAAAGTCTTCCGTTACCAAATCAAGACAACGTTTAACACCATCACCGGTGGAATCCTTTATGGTTATGTAACATCCCTCTCTTGACTCCACTTCTGTCATTCCCAATCGGTTGGGTACTACAGTGTTCGCACTCATTTTAGCATCGGCACGAAATAACTGTGATTGGAACTGTGCGATACGGCGTTCTTGCTCTTCCTCGGATGGCATTTTTACAATTGAAGCATTTGAATTGTTTTTCCTCCGTTTGCTCTGCCGCTGGAATAGTAAAAATCCTACAAGAGCAGTAAATAGAATCTCAAGAAGAATGTGGAAGGGATGTTCTACGATTTGTGTAAGTATTGTAGAAAAATAACCTGTTCCCGTCATATTGTGTTTTTTTCTTTTTTTTTCTTTTTTACCTTGTTTGTAATAAAGGGAGAAAAAAAAAAAATCCATTTTAAAAAGAAATCGTTCAAAGAAAAAAAAAAAGAGAGAAAGAGGAGGTGTAATAGAATCAAAGTATCGGTATTGGTTGTTACTGTTCAATTTGATCACAACACGCTACCAGTAGTTTAACCAAGAAGAGAGAAATTATTAGTACTCCAATCTACGGACTTTATGGAGCATCATCCAACGCAAAAAATACACTTGTAGGAGAAGTACAGAATTATTATATTCAAGACGAAGTGAAACGGTTGTACGAACAAGCCATAGTTTCCACTTTTGAAAGGCATTTCGAATAAGATACCAACAAGCTTTATGTCCAATGCGTCGAAGGGATTTACAAATCCAAGTATACCGTCTCCACTTCTTCAAAAATCTATAAACCATATCTTGAAGAGTAAGTCCTTCCAAATTACAGGCAATTATATGACGCGAAACAAGCAAGATCCATTCTCGCAAAATGTGTCGAGTCAAGGTCCGCTCTGCTGAATATCTAATAAGTTTTAATTTTTCTAAACAATACCTTCGACGTCTACGACGTATCCAAAGAAGAAAATAACGTCGTAGTAAGGAAACCAAATGAAAAGAAGATAAAGCTACTACGCTTCGGTGAAGTATCTTTCGGTATTTCACTGTCATCTTCCACCGCTCATATTCTCTTTTCACCATCCTTCGTTCAGCCTCATATCGTATACGACGTAATACTGATAATTGCAATGACCTCTTCTTCTGAAGTTGTGTGATATTCTGCCATTTCTTAAAAAAACGGTGAGCTAACAGTATAGATGTTTCCCTTATGACACGACGCTCTAGATACCGCAGTACGCCTCTGCGAGATGCAAAGAGAAACCATTTGTAAAAGACATGTAATAAAGAAGCCAAACAAGCTCTATGTTTTATATCCTGAAGACATATTAACACCTGACGTCTTCGAGTAAAACGAATCCATTTCTGTAGATATCGTCTCAACAACAGCGAGGACTCCTGCACACGTGTGGGGCCGGTATAAAAGTGCCGCTGCGGTGGTTTCGCCGGTACTTCGCAAACGGCCGCAGGACTCGCCGGGCACCACCGCTGAGAGCGCATCTCGCGCCCTCTCTAGCGATGACCAACTAAAAGGAAATAAGTAAAGAAGAAAAGAGCGAATAAAGGCCATATACTATATACCGTACATATGTATATATATATATATATATACAGCTCAAACGCTTACAATTTCCAATTAAAAAAAAAAAGGAAAATACTTTTTTTGTTGTAATAGAATACAATTAAGGCAAATCTGTTCTGATACAAGATATTCTTCTAAAAATAGTATCCATTACATCAGTCAAACGAAGCAAGCATATTACACGCTTTCTTTAATCGTTTTTGCTTGCTTGCTCTTTTTTTTTTTTTTTTTTTTAAACGCTCTTCAATTAAGACGGTGCTTTTTACGTAGTCTTGGGGGTCGCCCTTCAAGGAAGGTAAGCACATTACACGCTGCAATGCAAAGAGCATCAGCATTCAAGACGGGTGATGATGTTTCATCTGTCGCCTCGTTTGCAACTGCGGAATTCTCTACAAAGGAAACTAAGGCATTAACATTATCTAACGATTTCTTTGCGTTCATCAAGGCCACACTATTATTTATTTTTTTATTATCGTCCCCATTACTATTATCCTTATCCTTATCCTTATTATCATCATCATCAACGTCGGCAACATCAGATCCATCATGATCATCATCGTTAGTTTGAGAATCTAGTGTGAGTAATGTCTTCTCAAATGTCTTAACCTTTTCAGATAGTAGTAGAATATATTGTATAATTGCATCCCCTATTATATTACTTGCCCCGCATAAAGACTGTGCAACGAGAGCATGAAGACATTTGAGATCGGTTGCATGACTAACAGCAGCGTTACCATACTTACGACCTTGTGTTGATTCCCCAGCGGATACAAAATGTGAATCAAAGAAGGCCCAACGCTCAGCACTCAATAATGCCTGAGCACGCTTCTCGTAGTCTGTATGTGAGGAAACATGCTTAGCGGCCACAACCTTGTTTTCATCTAACAATTTCTGCAGTAGACTCACCGCCCCATGGCGCTCAAATCTCGCCACTATTGTATTTAAATATGGACAGGTGAGCCAAAATAGAGTGGCGCCCACAGCAGCGGAACGACCATTACGACCAATTTTACCGGCGGTGGAGCACAACACGGCGGCACTGTTGTGTTGCGTGCAGTGTGCTAACTGCACATCCGCCACGCGGTAACTCTTCTGTTCTGCAGCCTCCTCAAAGGGACTCGGTCGCTTTGACGACTCCCTATGCTGCATAACCCAAGTGACGATTGCAACAAATTGTTTTATTACTTTTCTCCTCTCCACTCCACTCGCTCGCCTTAGGCCTAGCTAATAATAAAAATAAAAAAAGGAATAAAAAAGGAAGGGGGAGAAAAAAAAGGAAAAGAAAAGTCACGTAAATAATATTCTTGATTGAAGTCAATAAGAAAAAAAAAACACATATAAATATGGAAAATGGGGAAATATAACCATATGGGAAATACGCTACAAAGCGCCCCAAGGAAGCAGAGATCTCGTCAACAGAGTGCAAGATTGGAAAAACAGATACAAAGAAAATAAAATATATATATATGTATCTATACACATCAACCATAAAACGTGTTTTTTCTACATATTTTATAACATTCTACACTCCACCAATAACAAAACACAGAAAAGAGACAAGAACACAAATTTCTTTTTTTTTTTTTTCTTCCTGTGTTATTCCATCACAGTTGCGGTTAGGACTACATGCGGCAATAATTTACAGTAGTAACACTTTGTTTTATTGTAAACCGTAGATTTTGTTAACTTCCTCAACTGTGAACTCCCGTTTCTTTGGTACTGCAAGGCGTGCTACATACTCTTTTATTTCAGAAAATTTTTTTTGAGTCACTTCCGGTCCATGGAAAAGATAACGCTTTCTGCTTTCATTCATATTAGCCTCCTTTCGCGCCAAGGATTCTGTGTAAAGTCTTTCTGTACAGCTTTCAACTTCTTCACTGGATATTTTTTTGGGAATCGTCTCTCTTTCAATACGAGCTTCTCTCTCCTCACGTGCTGCTTTTCGTTTCATCATTTCCTGATCCACCTGCCGTGCGACGCTGCTCTCGATGGTCTCCTTCGGCAGACATCTTCGCGGTGCTGTTGGGTAAAAGCGGGCATCGAGTTTCTGCAGATTCTCTTGTTTTTGTTTCATTGAGTGGTCGTGGAGCCGCGTGACGAGTCCCTCCTCCTGTTCTCTCGTCAGCCGCGCGGCCGTGGGGGACTCCCCGTCCGTTGTCTCCATCGCCAGAAAGACACTACCCGTCAACTAAGAAGAATGATGAACAGAAAGGGAAAAAGGAAAAGGAAAAGAAAGAAATAAATAAAAAGAGGAGTATAAATAATTACAGTGTGAAAAGTGGAAAAAAAAAAGAATAGTAATAAAAATGAAAAGTAGAAATAATAATAATAATAATAATAATAATAATAATAATAATAATAATAATAATAAAACAGAATAAAACTTGAAATACCTGTGGTGATAGAATATGAAGACCCAAACTCAATCTTATGGACTGTATTGTACACCACCTTTCACCCGTTCCCAAGCAGCAAGTATCTCTTGATCACGTTCAAAGTAGTGAAGAAGAGACTTGTGCTTCTTCCCATCCACATCCACCACACCGATACGGCACACACTAGAGGTGGGAGAGTCAATTTTCATAAGGATACCACCATGAGAGTCTTTCCATTTTGTAAACTTATTGTGATTGCAAGATGTACTTGTTTTTCTTATTCTTTCTATTTTCTCCTTTTCCTTATCCTCCTCCTCCCTAGTAGATAGTGTTGCCAAAACTGAGGCATCTTTTGCTGTTGTTGAAACATAAAAACGATTTACACACTCTTCCAAGTTTATTGGTGGAATCACATACTTTATATTCCTCATTTCATTATTTTGCAAATCTTGTGTTTGCCTATCCCTTTCTCTCTGACAAGTACAATTCATGTCTTTAAGTGGGGAATTATTTAAATTACTCACAATCCATCGCACACTTGACGGATCACAAGCTTTGCTCCAATGATATAAAAGTTCAATATCAAGCACACTCCAGTCACATATGGTTTCGGTGCCGTAGAGCTGCAAGTTTGCCAAGATGGAAAACACCCCTGATTGATATAATGCGTTAGACAACACATTAAGTTCATCTTCCTTTAGTCCTCCTGGAAAATCTTCTAAATGAAAATATTTTAAGTTATTCGAAGGATTACTATTCAAATGCCTTAAGGCAGCTGCTATAGATACTTCATCTCCCAATAACATTTGATTAGGACAATAGGTAGATTCAGAAAATATTGAATGTTTATTTCCTTTATTTTGTCGTTCATATTTTAAGGCTTGCATAAGTGAATAACGGCATTGACGCCGTTTTACAGGATGCATGTAATACTCTACATCATCTACAATAATACCTATCACTTGTGGATGTTGCCATACCCCTTTTGGTTTAATCTCAACAGTAAACCACCGCGTCCCATTCCAGTTCTCTACTGGTAAAGACGGATCAACTGCAAAATCAGGAATAAGATGAGCACGTACTGCAGTCCAACAGTGGTCTGCAAGCGGGGGAAATGTAGATGCACAGCGGGCTCGCAATGCTTCTGTTAAATGAATCTCATGTGTAAATCCCACAAAATCCCGCAGTATGTGACGACAAATAGGGCATTCAGATATCATTCCTTTGGTTAGCCGCAGTGCAAGATGACAACGCGGTGTGGGCCGCTGCTGTACATCTTTTTGTGCCCACGTCTCATTTGCTTCTTCTTCGGTCAGCGCGAAAACAACACTACAACCTCCCGCCCCGAGGTAGCGCATTCGCTGCAGCGTAAAGCATAAAAAATTAAAAGATGGAGAAAATAATAATGATGGAAGAGAAGGAGAATAATCGCAACGATACTGATTACACAAATAGTAAAAAAAAAAAAAAGAAAAAAAAAAAAGAAGCCATGGAAAGAAGGAACTCCAATACAAAGAAACATGTATATATGTATATACAACCATCAATTGTAATAACAAACGAAAAATACTTTCAAAAAAAAAAAAAAAATTATGAAAAAAAAAAATGATAATTAAAAATTTAATTCTTTTTTTAGTGTTTATTTTTCTTTTGTAAATCTTTTACCAGTTTAACATATGGCGCCGCCAGACTAGAGTTTCCGTGCGTTCGCCGGAGTAATTCTAATGTGCGGAGGTTTTCTGCCCACGTCCAGCCTGCACATAGTTTCACTAAAAGATCCTGTTGTGGTGGTGATTCAGAGAGTAATTCAATAGCAACACGCCATCGCTCTTCTCCAAGCTGTTGATCACTCCATAAAAGCACTTGATCTGGTCTAGGACGTACAAAGCGTCCTGTGTTTAATAAGATTGTCATTGCATCTTCATTATTTCGTAATGCAAAGACGAGAAGTGATCTCTCATAATCTGTTGGTTTTCTTAAACTTTTAAAAAAATACAATGCACTCTGAGAATCACTAGTATTTAATGCAGCGCTTCGAAGTAAACGTGAAGTAATAGAAGCTGAAATGGGAAATTGCAAAACGCGACTTAATGCTTGATAAACAAACCCAATAATAAAAAGTGCAGCAAGACCTCCTTCTTTACGGAGGGGCATAGGAATACCCTTTCTACCTTCCCTTGCGATAAATGAAAATTTATCATTTTCCACTGTTTGGTTAAAGATCCGGCGGACAATAGACCATAGGGAATCATTTTTCCAGAATTCATCCGGAAAATGTTGTAAAACATCTTTCAGGAATAAAACGAAAGGACGAAGATAACCCATATAAGCTTTATATTCTGTAAAAACTAATGTTTGAAAACGCAGAAGAGCTTTCACTGAGGTTAAAAGATCATTATTTTCAATAGCTTCTTTATGAATAAGTACAGCATGCAATAAGGGTGAATATGGACAATAGGATACAACCTTTTTTACTGCTTCTAGAGAAACAGAAGGTTTTCCACACACGAGAATTGCCCAATGTTCTTCCACAATCTCACCATTTTCCACAAGATCACTAAGAGCTGTTAGTGCTTGTTCCCATGATAATACTTGAAGGAGTCGTTGTAATCCGTGTTCATCCACATCTAATGAAGAAAATGAAGAAATATTAGCAGAACGAACAAGAGAATGCATTGATTGAGAAGTTTTTATTAAAGCACAGCATGCGCCAAGAACACGTCGACGTTGCTGAACCTGCTTTTGTATACGAAATCCTTTTATTTGAGAATTAAAACTCTTCAGTTCATCTTGTGCGAGCCTAGTATCACCATGAAAAAGGTCTTGCACAAGAAGTACCCATCGACTTTCTAGATTATCTTTCCAAAGAAGTTTTAATACTTTCCTTGACACTGAACTGGGAGTTACATATACAAGATTTGTAAAGAATTCAGGATAGGGTTGATTTACTCGTTGAAAGAGTGAAATAGCACGTTCCCACTGTCCATTTAATATCAAACCATTTATACTGATTTCTAAAGCATCCGTATTTGTAGTAAGATGTTGTGTAGGAATTGAAAGTGCCATACGAGCTGTTGTAGCAGAATCCATACGGTGAAAATATTTGGCTGATTTGAGTACTGCAAGTGACAATTCATAACGATCTGCAGCTTTCAGAGAGATTTTTCCCATAGCGAGACAACGTGCGATTTCTCGAAAAAATGTGTGAGCCATTAATTCTCCACCTTTTCGAAGATATTGTACCACCATGGCACAAAGAGTATTACATTCCTCTCCCTTAGATATAATATAATCAGAAGAGAGGAATTTTAAATAATCTTCGTCATTGGTTGACTCATTTTCAGATATTCTTAATGTTCCAAAATGATGTTGACGTAAGGCACGAGGAATCACTTGTATATAATACCGTTGTGCTTTCTTATCTGCAGCAAGGCAAACTAATTTAGAAAATTTTTCATTCTGAAACATAAAGCATTGTATTCCCTCATTCTCTTCAGTCTTCTTTGTACAAGAAATGTGATTGGCCCGACATGCCAAAAGTAAAGAACGTAATCGGGCGTTTTCCTTTACATTCTGCAGTTGAGTCCAGTCTCCATGTAAAGCAATTGCCAACTGTTCTTCAAAGGTTACAGCACGCATCGAATGATGGGATATCTTTATACGGTGAACAGCTTCTTCATACGATAATAATTCATGAGGTAATGCAGCTCCTCGAGAGGCGTACGGCACCAGTGGTAAAACAACATCATAGTAACGACATCCACATAATAATCCAATGGCTTGTTCCCATTCACCATTCTGGACATACTTGTAGGCTCGCCGCGTCAATGTTCCTGCGTACATAGATTCTGAACTTGGGGCAATAGCATCTGCGTACAATTGCATACGTTGTGGATGTTTGTTGGGAATGGAAGCGATAATAGGGCGTAGCACACTATAAGCATATACACGGTTTGCAGCACATAGTGATAATGCCTTTTCCCAGCCAACATTTTGAATATAATCTGCCCGTGTAAGTAATGCCTGTGCGGACTCTGGTGAGTTCCATCGTTCAAATGTTCGTAATGCACATAACCAGTGGGGTGCGTACGTAATAGCATCCGCCACTTCCTTTGGCTGCATTGAATTCACAGTTGTAAGCGCCACCTTCCATTGATTAAGGCGAAAAGCGTGTACCCAAAAAAGTCGTTTAGCAGAAGGACGCACTTCACGTGTGGCATTTAGTACTGACAAAGCAACACTCCACTGACCTCGTTCTGCATGTAACATGGCATAAGCAAAGGCTAGCGTTTCTTTCTTCAATCGCGATACCACTTCTGCATTCGCTAAAGCTAATATTTGACAACACTGGAGCGCTACTTCTGGTTGATCCTTTCCAAGTTCATAACATCGCAACAAGACCTCTGGAGTTACAGGCAAAATACCCCCAAGTTGTGGTCGCTCTCCCACAGCAGCATGTAGTAGAGATGCGAATTGCACTATTGTGCGAGCCTCTAAAAGGCGAGAATAAACAGAGGATAGATCTTCTTCAAAATGCCACAATTCTACCATAGTATGCGGTAAAGAATGCCATGATTCCACATCCTTGAGGCCATCTTCTATAAACTTTCGTTGTGCCAATGGAAGTGCATGCAACTGGGCCTCTATTAGCTTTAAGCAATTTGACCAACTAATATTGTATTTTTCCAGTGCTTTCCAAATTAACATTGAATGAGTTCGTTTACCCAAAAGAGACTTTTCTCGTTTATTTTCAGATGATTGTGCCTCCTTTGCAGTCTCCTGCATGAGTTGTAGGACTTCTTCCTTCGTCAGTTCCTCTTTACCATGCAGACAAACCTTCCACCGATGAAGCAGACCTTTTCCCTGCCACAGGTGAATGGAACGGCGCATTCAGCATTCCAACTCTTCCTCTTTCTTTTTTTCACACAAATACACAGATACAAACGTAATGCTTAAACATAACAAATAATGTGAAAATACGAATAAAAATGAAAAGAAAGAAAAATGGGGGAAAAAAGGAAGAATAAGAAATTAAAAACTACAAGAAATAAAAAATAAAAAATAAAAATGGTACTAATACAATAAGTGAAAATCTTCCAACACTCATATCCTCTCTCATTCATTTTTTTTTTCTTTTCTTCGCCTTGTTCGTCACACCACACGTCATTTCCTGTATCTTCAAACACCCTACGACATGAATTCGTTTGGTTTCCAACGTCGAATAAATTGTGGATCTCTATATTTCCATCCTTTAACTACTGGATCTGTCCAACACAGTGGTCTTGGGTTCTTGTCTGCGTGTGGATGCACACTATCCTCGTAGAGCCACGCTTTTTCTAACGGTGCCACACGTGTTTTCAGTTTACGCACAAAGTGACGGTTTACTTCATCCTTCAAGAACCACCACATCAGCATGCATGGATCTCGCTCATACATATCGGTGAGACGAATACGATACTTCCCGCCTGGGTAAGCTGTCTGCCACGTAATAGGAACACGTATCCACTCATCCCCTACCATGACCACATCCTTGATGTTAACAATGATAACATGGTCCCCCGTCAACATTCCTGGTGTGAAGTCTGGCCGGTGTTGACCGGTTATGTACTGTGCAGCAACTGCTGCCACATGCGGCAGCTGCTCGCCTGCAGCATCGAGAATCCACCAGCGCTCTCCCTCGCGGCACAACCACTGCTTTGACATCTCATTGTAGAGAGGTAAACCCTCCGGGTGGTACTTGTGGCGGCGCAGCACACTTTTGAAGGGTGCCGCCGCAATCCTACTTACCCGCTGCATTTCTCAATGAAACCGGTGGTACCACTAATCCACTATGCCACTTTAGAAATCAAAGAAACAATCAAAATAAATAAAGAAGGGTATTGAAAAACAAAACATATATATATA